GCTGTGGCGCCATGGCTGGGCTTTTGGAGACGTTATTGGTGGAGGAGGTGGTGGTGGTGGTGGTGGTTGTAGTGATGGTGGTGGTAGGAGTGGAAGCCAGCAGTAGGAACAGTTATGTAGTGCTACCCATGCTACCCAGTCATTGCTCTGAGCACTTTAGGTATGAGGGGATTTCAAAAGTGGCTTTAGATGGACTTAACGTACAAATTTATTTTGGTACAAAAAGTTGTGAAATCTATACACAGTTTATTTATATACATGTTCCATGACCTGTTTTGAGACTGGCGTATGCACTTTATTTCATCTTCATGCACACTTTGTGTGAGTACTGTGAGGTAGGTGTTACTCAAATCCATATTTCTCCGTGCTGGAAACTGAGCACAGAGAGATTACCCAATTGCTAAGGTCACACAGCTTGAATAGAGCAGATCTGGGACTTGAACCCAGGCTGTCTGGCTGAATTGATGCTCTTTTTTTTTTTTTAAGAGATTTTTGCTACAGGGCATGTGTGCTCACCAGAGAGAGCCAGAGAAAGAGAAAGTGAGAAATCACCCTCCAAGGGGGCAGGCCATGCCACATTCCCTTCTCCTTCATGTTCTTCTTGGGATCTTGGGCATGCACACACTCATTCCTGGCTTGAGTCTGGGACTTGAACCATAGTCGGCCATGTGGGAGTCCAGCACTTTAACACTGCGCCACCTGCTGGCCCCGCCTTTTTATCTTTTGCTGTAGGGCACATATGCTTTCCAGAGAGAGAGAGAGAGAAAGAGAAAGTGAGATTCCCGCAGGGGGAATGTCTATGCTCCAATCCTTTCTCCACTCCCCTCTCATGATGCTGGGCATGCACATGCACCCAGTATCATTTTTAATTTACTGGTTCCCAGCACTGAACCTGCGTAGTCAGCCACGTGAGACCCAGCCTCCTTAACCTCTGCACCACCTGCTGGCCTGAGACCAGGCTCTTCATCACTATACTTGGCTGCCTCTGTGGTCCTGAGTGCCCCAGCCTTACTTTGAAAGTCGTTGTTCAGTGCTGTGTATTCATTCGTCTCCTAGTAGCTGCCAGGCCCTGTGCCAGGCTGAGAACACAGACGAACAAGCGCAGGACTTGGTCCGCTGAGGAGCTGCAAGGGGACGGACAGTTCTGGTGGAGTGAGTGCTGAATTGGAAGCGTGCATGAGGGCCCCCCAGGAGCCCTCAGGAAGGGCAGCTGCCTTCCTCTGGGTTTGCCATGCGTGGTGAGCAATGAGACCCCTGTGGGGCCAGCAGGTGGCATAATGGTAATGTTGCTGGACTCCCACGTAGTTGACCGCAGTTCAAATTCTGGACCCTGCAACTTGAAACTCATGCTGGGTGCACATGTGTGCATGCCCAAGGCCCTGAGAGAAGAATGGAAGAGAAGGGATTGTGGTGTGGCCATCCTCCCTGGGGGTTGATTTCTTGCTTTACGTCTCTCTGCCTCTCTGTCTCTCTGGAGAGTGCACATGCCCTATAGCAAAAATTTCTCAAAAAAAAAAAAAAGAAAGAAAGAAAAAAAGAGACCTCCGTTGGAGG